AGGGAGTCCTTTGCCAAAATCTTCCAAGAGCAACCCCATAGAGAATAAGAAAAAGAACGATAATACTAATAAAAAAAAGCAAAATAAAAAAAGGAGTAGAGAACGATCCCACACGCGTAAAGCCGACAAAAGGGTGGACGAGGGAGGTGGGGGGAGAGCGACTGGTTTTGATATACGAGCAGCGCCATTGTTAAAGTTTAAAGGATCAGTGGTTGAGCCAAGATAAGCCTTCAACACTCCCCGTTATGTACGGCAGGGAATAGAGCCTCATTTATAACCGCGAGCAGTTCTTGCGCAGACGATAAAGGTCGGTCCACGCCCCTGCCCACAACCCTCGGACATTGGGATATGAAGGAAATTGTGTTTTTTTCCCTGGATGGAGAACAAGTCTTTTGGAATAATAACTACACAAAGGACAGTTCAATAGAATTTTAGTAGAACGTGATTCAAGTGTTACGTTTGAGAAGGAACAGGGGATCGTCCATCATCGCTTTTCGGACTATCAAGATGTGTACTGTAAATACAGTGATTGTGTTCCATAATCCATACACAATCACAATGTAATTTTTCTCGCGACGTGCCATCGAATGTGTTATCGTAAACGGTCGACTGTATTGAGTAGTGTACACGAACTATTAATCTTCGAGAGAACCAATTTTGCACGAGCAGCTATGGAACTATAAATCTTGGAATTTACCAATCTTGCAGCATTCAGTGGTGGTCATATATCAAGGACATATTAATTTTGACATTTGCCACTTAACTGACGAAATATAAAAGAAACAGTTTTTTTTTGTGTGTGATGTTTTGGGGGTTAAGATATTTAGAATATTCTATTTTGCTTTAAAGAGTAAAAGCCCTTGTTGATTTTACTAGCAGTACGCGACAACAAAACATGTATTGAAAATACAATAGAGGGGATTTGTAATTCCTACATGTTACAAAGTCCCCTCCCATTTTTTACGACGTGTTATTGGAATATTTTTATATGTAAGTTGTCAATTATATTGAACTAGGCAAACGAATAACTGATCTGTAAATGGATCAATTTATTGCTCAGAAATATAAAACTATAAGCTTTAAAAACATTTCTAGGTTCGCGCAATATTCAACACTACAGCTCTATTTAAACACAATTATATTAATTGAAGTAATAACTTTCTTTTTGTAAAAATATATAAGGAAAAAATTTTGGGTGCAGGAGGACACAAAACATTTTCACATCACTAAAAATATTTCTTTTTAATAATCCCTCAATGGTTTGAACCACATCAAAATGCGTTGTAAATATAATCATAATATTTAAAAATCCTTATGAAACAACAGTACATATTTTTGTTCAAAAATAATTTACGGAGAATTTTATTCAAACCACCAATTCTGTATTTAAAAGACAGAACCAGTGCACACACAAAAAATTTTCAAGGAGGGGGAGGGGTCTAGGGTCCAAAGTTCACCCTTCTCGTATACCTCAATACGCCGCCTAACATATTCTTTTGATTGTGTCGATTTAAAGAACAAAAAACAGTAAAAAGTATATCATTGAATTAATAATTGACATTAATTACTAAAATAAATTGCTAATAACAAATACTTAATTTTACGTACTATGTTAATAGAATTAACATCAATCGAAAAAAAATCAAGTGCTATGGGGAGTCTGTGTCCAGACCCGTGGAATCCTCCTTCTTTTATGTGGGCCACTGGACAGAACTAACTACAAATCTTACAATTTTTAATGTTTGCTTATGATATTCAGGGGCAGCCATATATGATGGTACCTTTAATTTTAACTTTCGCCACTTTATCATTAAATATATGAAAATGAGTGCAAAGCAGTGCCAGTTTATCCATCGACACTTAACCAGAAAATCTAGCTATAAATTTCGATCCTCCAGTGCCAAGGGAGTCTGAAGATCTTCTGCGCCCAGACCCTGAAATGACTGGGGTATATAAAGCAAGGTATAATTTCATGTCAAATCATTTTTTATTCCGAAAGTGGGATGTGAACTATAACATCAACAACTCTGTGTTCAGAATGAAAAGGAAAAAAACATTCATCTAATTTGCTTATGATGTAAATAATATTAGAACAACCTTAGCTAAAATGAACGGTTCAGAAATTCTACCCAAGAATGTTTCAATTATAAAGCCAAGTTAAGCTCAAATAATATCAAGAAAAATGTCAATTTGCTGAGGTTTGAAATATTTGAATATATAAATTCAAAACATCCTGTATCCCCTAAATCAAATGAAGTTCCTCAAATTATTGTCTAAAACCACTATTTCGGGAGTCTATTTAATTCTTATTCATTTAAAAGGTTAAGAAGTTGGAAAATCGAGACTAAATGTTGTCGGTAAAAAAAAAGGCTGAGAGCTATTGATGTAGAACACATAAAGCAAAGTGAACGTCGTATAATTTAGTTTACAGATGCAAATACATAGTGGTTTTATGGGATTTTGCAAATTTAATGAATAAATGTGCATTTTTTTCTTAGAAAGTGAAAAAAAAGGTACAAATTTTATACAAAAAAAAGACTCTGTACTTTTATAAGTAATTATTTTTTATTTAGAATGTTGAATACTGGCAATTAAATATTTCATTCAAAGTAACACCTGTTAGTGTGAATTAAATAATTATTTAGCCCTGAGTTTTTCTTTAAAAGATCTCCACTTATTTTGATAAAATTATTTTGAACTTCGACAGTGATCATGCTTTTAAGTTTTGGGATATGGAGGTAAAAAGTCACAATTCAAATGCAGGAAAAAATACTAAAATAGAAAATCCGTAATATATATAAAAAAAGGTTCAAGTATTTTGGCATCAATGATTACATGAATTGTACATTCAGACATGAAAGAAATAATTTATCAGAAAATTATTCCAACAGTTACATCCATCGGTGTTACTTTTCGCGTGTTAATTCCATTAATGAAAATCAGTCAATAATTGTACTTAGGAAGAGAGAGTCCGAATAATATTGTTACAGGTTTCTAATCCCGATATCATTAGCAAAACGTTATTAAAGAGCTGTATTTAGGATAATTATTCCACTGCTTCAATTTCCCTATTTGCTCACATAATTAATCCTGAAATCCAATTACTGTATTATTTAGGAAGTGAAATTACTTTCCCAAAGTAGATTCTAGCTGCCAATTGAGCAATCTATTGGTGCTGTTTGACGACTGAATGAAAGGAATCAGCTTTAAGTTAAAACTCAATATATAACTTGCATTCGTAGAAATTGTTACGAAGCTTAACGGTAACAAGGGAATAATCCGCGATACTTACTTTAGAACGTTTTTGTTGAAGAAATTTTTGTTAAATTTCTGCTTAGTACGCTTATAAATTCAAAATATATATTTGAATAATTAACTGTGAAATAAATTATTTGCTATTTCGTCTTCTTTTTTCAATTCCTACTATTAGTTCACTCTCTCACTAAATACTGTAAAATCCGGCGTATAATGCGCACTTTAAACACAAAAAATAAGACCGAAACTTAAGGGTGCGTGCGCATTATACGCCAGGTATAAAAATGATAGCCTTAAAAATAGCAAAAGATATGAACATAAAAAAACCTTTTCTTCTACATGTATGGAAACACTGTTTATTTAAAAGAAACGACTGGCCTTACGAACTAAAAGAGTTATAGGTCTAAAGGGTGTTTTTTTGAGAGGTATAGAACTTTAAATTGCAATAAAACAACGATATAGTATTCGATTGACATGAATTTCTTTTTATTCGAAAGATAATCTTGTGGCATTACATTTTAAATATGATTTCTGGCATAGGACTGCCACGGCTGGCTCGGATGTAGTCCAATCTGGACGTCCAATTTTCGATGACTTTTTCCAACAATTGTGGCCGTATATCGGCAATAACACGGCGAATGTTGTCTTCCAAATGGTCAAGCGTTTGTGGCTTATCCGCATAGACCAATGACTTTACATAGCCCCACAGAAAATAGTCTAGCGGTGCTAAATCACAAGATCTTGGAGGCCCATTCACAGGTCCAAAACGTGAAATTAGGCGGTCACCCAACGTGTCTTTCAATAAATCGATTGTGGCACGAGCTGTGTGACATGTTGCGCCGTCTTGTTGGAACCACAGCTCCTGGACATCATGATTGTTCAATTCAGGAATGAAAAAGTTAGTAATCATGGCTCTATACCGATCACCATTGACTGTAACGATGTGGTCTTCATCGTTTTTGAAGAAGTACGGACCAATGATTCCATCAGCCCATAAAGCGCCCCAAACAGTCAGTTTTTCTGGATGTAACGGTGTTTCGACATACACTTGTGGATTAGCTTCACTCCAAATGCAGCAGTTTTGTTTGTTGACGTAGCCATTCAACCAGAAGTGCGCTTCATCGCTAAACAAAATTCGCTTATGAAAATCGACCATTATTTTCGAAATAAAAGTGCACAATTTGAAAGCGTTGTTCAGGCGTGAGTCTATTCATGATGAATTGCCAAACCAAACTGAGAATAAATCACTTGACAGCTGTTAAATCGGTCGCCATCTTGGAAAGTAATGCCAACTTAAACTTCTCTACCTGGAGAAAAAAAAACACTCCGTATAAGCGTACTATTGTTTCAAAAGTTTGGGATAATACCTCGAATAAATGATTTCAAAACACAAAAGCAATGTATACTAATATTTCAGATTTCTTCGTTAACAAGGGGGAGCGCGTTATACGGCGAATATAACTAAAAATTTGAAAAATCAGCTGGAAAGTATAGGTGCGCGTTATACCCCGGATTTTACGGTATATTTAATTGTATATATATCTTGTTCAAATTTTCAGTCGTCAATAAAATGCTTTCTATTCATCCATTCAAATTCAAACACATTTTTTTAAACTTATAACGGACGACATTTGATGTTAACACAGTTTTTCAAATATTTATTCATTAAGTTTAAAAAGGTATAAACAGTAATAAACAAAAATAATAGTCCAACAGCATATATAAAAAGGAAAAACGTTGGTTGTGTCTCTATTGTGCAATGGATAGCGCGTTGGAATTCTAATCCAAAGGTCTTGGTTTCGAATCCCACTTGGGATGGCCTAATTTCTGAGAATGGCCTAATTTCATTCTCAGAAATTAGGCCATCTAATAAATACTATAGTATTTATTAGATGGATAATCTAATAATACTATAGTATTTATTAGATTTTTTATTCTAATAAAATACTATAGTATTTTATTAGAATAACTAAACTTAATTAATCAATAAATAGTGACAAATAAAAAAGTAGTCCATCACCTTATATAGAAAAGAAAATAGCAAGGAAAATCTCTCAATTTTGCCACTTAATGTTGTGATTCGGTCGTATCTATATAAATATTTATATTAATTGTAATTATTTAATAAAAAAAAGACTAAAATAAAATATTTCTTTGTTGACCTAAGTAGGAATTGACTTAATATTTTTTTTATATTACTTGTTAACTCTAAAATAAGGATTACTAATCGATGGTCCATGGTTTAAAAGAGTAGATTTTTAGAAATGTCCACGCACACACATTTTGTTAACTTTTTTGAACTTCTCTTTTCTTACTAATATATATATATATATATATATATATATATATATATATATATATATATATATATATATATATATATATAACTCTTTTTTTTAAAAAAACTAAATAACCTTTAGAATATCATTTTTAGCTTAAATATTTCATCTTTTCTTACAATTACTGAAATATTCAGAGGTTGTTATGTTTCGTCCTTTCGCATTATTTTAATTTTCTTAATTAAAAATCAAAATTTTTGAATTCCTTTGATTTATATATATTTTTTATATAATTACTTATAATTCTGTGAATATGGTATATATTTATACTTTGTTTTCTAATGTATTATTTACACCATACTTCAATAAGAGAATTTTATCTTAAAATGCAACATGCATAATATATTTATTGTACTGTGGGAATAATTAAAATCGTACATGTTATTTTCTTATACATAAAAAGTTATAGCTGTAAATATAATAAGTAATAATAGTTATAAACTTATTGATAAGCGGATATGTCAGATAAGCATATTTTACAGTGAGAAAATATTAGATGCGTTACAATTTTTTTCTTTCTTGTACAATCTTTAAACTGACTTGTGTTAAAAATTTATCTTTTACACTTGTTGTATTTATGTATTATTATTAATATTTCAGGCAAATATTTATGCGTAATTATTTACTGTAGAGAGAACTATTGTACATCATGTATTTTATTATGTGAATTGCATTCCAATGCTACCTATAATTTATTTATTTGTTTAATTTTGCAGGCAGATGTACAAACATTCATGGACAAAAAAATTAGCGCACCAAGAAATAATTGCGGGATCGTAATGAAACTTGGCATGAAGGTACATGTTCGGGATTGCCCATTACGTATAGCCGGTAGAGGGCGCTTAAAGTCGTTCTCCGTGGAGTACAAAACAGGTTACCAAAGCTTGTTTGAGTGTGCTGAATCGTGTACAAAGCAAGAGCAGAGATAGACATGTCATTACGCGTTTTCGAAGACAATATGAGCAGCTGTCGCAGTTTGGGAGAGGGAAAATCATAGGAGTGATGAAAGCTGGGTGGTCAGCTAGGCGAATAGCTCATCAATTAGGCAACTCTGATTGTGTTGTGAGGAGGTGTTGAGACCAGTGGATCCGAGAAATGTCATTTACACGAAGACCAGGATCTGAACGCCCTCGACAGACCAGTCGTAGAGAAGACCGCCACATCGTAAGAAATGCACGCGCACAGCCAACTGCTTCATCGATCGCCATCCAGGCACAGCTAGCACCTTCATTAGGGGCCCCTGTGTCTTCTCGAACCCTATGAAGGTACCTGGCTGAAGGACATTTGGGATCGCGGCGCCCATTACGTGTGCTGCCCTTGACGCCTCCGTTTGGACGCGCACGAGGAAACTGGACTACAACGGAATGGAACCAGGTCGTCTTTAGCGACGAATCCAGATTTAGTCTCAACAGGGACACACCGCTCCCACAACTGGTGTGATGGTAAGAGGTGCCATTGCCTACAATACACGGTCACCCCTAGTATTGATCCGTGGCACCATGAAAGCCCAGCTGTATGTCCATGACATCCTGCCACCATATGTGTTGCCACTCATGCAACGGCTCCCAGGAGCCATTTTTCAACGCCAATGCTCGGGCTCATACGGCAAGGATGTCACAAAACTACCTCCGCACTGTTACTACCGTTCCTTGGCCTGACCGATCCCCAGATTTGTCTCCAATCGAGCATATCTGGGATCATTTGGGATGGCGAGTTGGGCATCCCGCGAGTTTGAACGAATTAGAGGCAAGGTTACAGCGAATATGGAACGAAATATCTCAAGACATCATACATAACTTGCATGCCTCAATGCCCGATCGAATCGCATCGTGCATTCGCGCTAGTGGGGGTGCAACAGGCTATTAAATCCTCTGTTCTTTTGCCTTTTTCTCTAAAATAAACGATCATTTTTTTCTTTTTTGTAATCATTTACTTATATAAAAGTAGTCATTACGTATGTAAAATTTCGTTTCATTTTGACGACCCCTTCTTGTTGCGCTATTTTTTTTCGTCCACGTGTGTGTTTTCAAAGCATTTTTTAAGAGAAAGGGTTCAGGGCATTAAATTTTACTGATATAATCTTTGAAAAAAAAAGAAGGATCAAAATAACTCTCTTTCTAAAATACCTTTTTAAATTGAAGGAGCTAAATGAGATTAACAAATACTTTTTTAAAGGTAAATTGTTAGTAAGATATCAAGTTAAATTCGTATTACATTACATTTATTTCCTTATATTTCTTACGAAAATCAACAAAAGTAATCTGAAAGTATTTTTCAAGGAGATTTTCAAATATTTTTTAAAATAAAAGGTGAAATAATTTTAAAAAGGGAGGTTTTAATTGATGAAATAAATAAAACTTAAATTTATGTCTAAATGACACAAAAATCAAAAACGATTATAAATCTTGATGTCTGATTGAAAATTAATTTAATATCTCCCTTTGGGTCTAATGAAAGTCAAATTAAATTATTAATATTACATTAATTGTCACATATTCTTCATAAATGTTGTACTCGTATTTGATTAAAATATAGATTTACTGAACTTAATAGTATCTCGCGCGCGAAACTAAAAACGTGAAATTAAAAAAGAAAATTAAAAAAAAAGTATTAAAAAAAATACACGCAAACGTTTTAGCCATACAGGTTTTAGATGTGTTTACCGTTTATTTCCGAATATAAGCTGATCCATGTATATATATATATATATAAGCTCAGAGTACTTTTCTTTAAAAAATTACCCAAAATTCGAAACCAGCATATGAGCTAAACGAAAAAAGAAATCCTGCTATTTTCTATTATGTTGCGATGAAGGTTAAAATGTTGCCAAGCGGGTAAAACGAGTGAAATATTTTCCAATCTAAATGCTGTAAAGTAAAATGCCAGACGCCAACGACGATAGTTTTATTTCTGGCAACCCTTTCTAAAACTAAATCTTGTTTTCTATTGATATAAAAAATATTTTATACACTGTCTGTACCAGGCTTACTTTCTGAGTGATTTTTATTTGATTGTATGGAAAATAAGCAGAAAGAAATTCGTGTACTTCTAATTTCAAACTACAGTTTCAGTCATCCTGTGCAGAAATGTGAATTTTACAAATGTTTTGGAAACTCAGATTCTAACACTAATTTTTAAGGATTTATGTGACTATTTCTTCATTTTTATTAAAAGTTCTATTGTTGTCGTATGTTTTTATCCAGGGATACACATGAAATATAAGTGGAAGAACCGTAACATACAATACAAGCAGAGAGAAGAATATACACATTTATTTACAAATTATGATTCCAGCATATCACAGAAAGGGTGTGCTGCTTTCCAATCGAGATGAGAATCCGTTACAGGTGAAAGTCCGAATTCTTTTCTCTAAGAAAATACATCCCTGCTTATTCGGAATTCGAACCCGAACCCACTCCGTTACAAGCCGAGGGTCATATCCTTCTTACTGGCTGGGCAGGAAAAAGTTCCATTCAAAACAACCAATATATTAAATTATTATGCTTGATCATGACTAACGAAAATGTTAAAACAAATTGTTTTCTCTGAACGTTTTTCCCGATCTTAGTGGATCCACATATAAGTCGACACTACTACTTTAACTTAAAAAAAATTGGTCATGGAAGCCGCCACTAGATGGTGCCACCAATGAAGTAGCTCTCACACTTGAGGATTTGCCGTGTTTGCAAAGGTTCCTACCAAAATGCATCCTATTTGAAAAAAAAATTAAAAGTTTCGAAAATTCTTGGTTTATTCTCGCAAAGTAATACTTTTGCATCTTTTAAGCTTGTATTAAAAACAGAACATTTTCTTTCTTACATTACATATGTATTAATTTTATATGGCTCACGTCATTTTTTTAAAATTGCTTCCACTAATGTCTCCAATGTATTCATATGTAATGTACAATAGCTTAAGGGGCATTAGTATTTTCTTTCGAATGTTTTTGGATATTAGAATCAATCCTGTGTGTGTGAAACATACATTCGATGTCTATTAAAAATAGAGGTAAAATCATTTTTACCCTTGCAATTTTAGATCTAGGTTATTATATATATAAAAAAAAATATTCATAATATTTTATCATAAAATTATCTTAAGTTAATAAAGTCTTACGACAACAATCTTTTCAGTTTTCAAAGCTCCTTTTGTTCTTTTCGTATAAAATGCTTAACATAGTTGAATTCCCAGATGAGCTGAGAACACGTTATTTTAATACAGAGGGACAATCAAAAGAACAATAATTCAATTGTAAAATATTTCTCACAGAGAATCATTGAGCTTATTTATATATTATCATCCAACCACACACAAATTGCTTAATAATAACACACAAACATGAAGAAAATTTTCACTATCATTTCGCCATCATTTTCAAACACAGCAACTTATTTCTTTTATATATATAAATACAAGACTGCAATACTTTCTCTTTAAAATTATAAGCCATGTCTTTCTCTCTCAGCATTCTACTGAAAA